ATTCTATACACATGGAGAATGAAATGAAGCTCGGTTTAGGGTTAACTTTCTCAATCCCTTGGTCCAAGGGGGGAAGCCTCGATTGGATGCTTGTGGAAGCTTCGTGGAGGTCCCAAGAGCCTAGGGATGGAGTCTCAAGCCGTGGTGAATTGCTTAGATATGAATTCGACCAAAGTCGATTTAGGGGTTCGATCAAAGTCCACCTTAGGGTGCTACAGTGATGGGGCTTGTGGGGGATCTTCTTTTGATGTGGGGATGGTGTGGGTACAATTAATTTGAATTTGGTGGAAATTAATTAATTTGAATTTGGTGGAGGTTTGAGGGGTGTCCTGTTTCGGCCTAGAGATTGGGCTAAAAAAATGAGCTCGAACAGTGGCTTTGAGTGGCTAAGGGTGGTTGGGCTAAGCTCAAGAGGTCTCAAAGAAGTTCTGGAAGAAATTTGACAAAGTCTCCCCAAGGAATTTCATGCTCTCCTCCTTTGGCCATGAAGGGGGGATTTAAATATATGGGGAAGGAGAGGCCACCAGGAGCAATTGGTGGGTTCCTTAAGTTACTTATGTAGTTGCCAAAAGTGTGCAAAAATCCAATTGGGATGAGCCAACTTGGATGGGTTTAATTTTGAGTTTTGGCCATGGTGGAGCTTTTGATATTGGGTCTTCCGGCCACCAAGGTGGCTGGCCAGCCAAGTAGGGGTCACCATCTAACTCAGGGAGGTCAGAGCTTGGTCTTGGTGAAGTCAATTGAGGTTTTCCATGTGTAAAGATATGAGATTGAAATAGTATGAGAAAAACGTCAAATTGGGTCAAGGCATGGTTTGGGTTGAGTTCAACCACCAAGGTTGGTCTTGAGCTAAAGAGGATCAGATGAGTCAGCTAAATTGATGTGAAGAAGTCTCTATCCAAGTGATTTGGTTAAGTATGAGGTTTAGAGTATTCATTAAAAGGGTTAAAAACCTTTTTAAAGAGACTTGAAAGTGGTTTGACCTCTTGTCATAAATAGTTTGATGATGTGGTATTACTCTCATGGCTTCCCTTTGGCTTGACTAATTTTCATGAGAAGAGATTTTGAAATTTTTGGTATTTTAGTGGAGTTTGTCATGAGGCTTGATTTGGAATGATTTGATCATGAATTTAGGAGTTAGGAAATGATATTTGATGACATGGATGATGAGGAGAAATGAAATTATCATGTGGACTTTTGATTGAAATTTAAACTTTTTGGAATTATTTAAGGGTTTGGGCTTTTAAAATGGAAATTGAGCTTGGGCTAAAATTTAGACTAATTTAATGTTGAATTTGGTGTAGGAATATATCATGAAGGATTTGACAAATTTTCAAATGATTTTAAGTTAAATTGATTAATGGATTGGGACATATAGTCAAAATTGTGCCTTTTTGATTTAAATGAAATTAGGCTTGAAATTAGATCAAATTGGGCTTGAACTTTGTTTGGGTTAGGATTGAGGATGCTGAATTTTGATTTGAAATTGAAATTGGGCAATATTGGGATCAATTGGGTAAGATTGAGGCTATTGTGAGGACATTTGGGCCTTTAAGGGCAAATTGGGGTTTTTGGTCAAATTGGGCTAATTTGGTCAAATCTGGTCAAATTGGTGATAAAAAATTGAAATAAAAAATATTTGGGATGATTTTGGAATTTTTGGGAATTTTTGGAGTTTTTATAATTTTTAGGTCATGAGGGGCATTTTGGCAATTTTTTAGGGTATTTTGGAAATTTGGTAATTTTTGAGAATTTTGGTTAATTTAGGTAGTGTTGAGGGGTTTGGGATGATTTTTGGGTAAATTTGGGAATTTTAGGTAATTTTGGAAAAATTAGGGTTGTTTGGCTATTTTAGTAATTTGGTGATTCTGGGCTAAAATGGGCAAACAAGCCACGAAGCCATTCTAAACCAATATGAGCCATATTAGGACTCGTTTTGGATGCTCAATATGCTGATTCTAACCCTCTTAGCCAAAAACTAGGGGTATAAAGTCATCTACATGAGCTTTCCAAAAGGAGTAGGAGACCAACTTAAGGGATCTTAGGGTTTAGGGTATGTGAGAGATTGTAATGTGTGCAAGTTAGCCCCACCAAAAACAGATCACCCAGGGTTCGTCCTAAGGTCTGACCATCCTATGGGGGACTCCACTCGGGTTTTCTCATACTGGCCCCACTTACTAAGTGCTAGAGGTTAGGACCAATATGTGAAACTCCATATGTGAAACTCCAAGAAGAGTTTGAAATTTCTAATGGTTAGGGTTCCTTTTCTAGTCCTCTAGGAATAGTCAATAGGAAAGTTCTATGATTAGACTCTAGATTACTAAAGAGGAAAAACTAGACCTCAACCAAAAATAAGATCAACAGTGTAATGTTAGTCGACATCGCCTTTGATTTTATCTGATCTTTTTCCTGATCCTCCTCGAGCTCATCTTTGGTCTAAGTTCCCTCATTTGATTCTGATAGGCCTCTTCCTTAATCCTACCCTGACTCATTTGTTGCTCATCCAATGAGATCTGTTAACAAAGTTAACGGAGCACTAGATAATATAAAGAGTGAAGTTTAGGTGTTAAATATGTAAATTCTAATATTTTGAGTGCTATGTCTGTAAAGTTGTAGCTATCCTTTTGATTGGCTCTCAATTATCCACTTCAACCCATAAAAAAAAGAGCTTCAAGTTAGCTTATGACCTATTTTGGATTGTTGTTTGCTTTGGTTTCTTAAAAACAGGTTAAAGAGATAATAGAACCTGTTTGGTAATTTTGTTTTAACAATTTGAGCCAATTTAAAATTTTAAAAATTATATTTTGGATATATTTTTAATTTTCCCTTATAGATTTTTGGGTTTCAACAAATCATTTTTCATGAGGAAAGCACAAAAAACACTTAACCATTTGATAAAACATCATGTTATTATATTTAGAGGCAATAGATGCATATTAACTAAATCAAAATAAAAAGGAGTACAAAATATTATTTTTAGATTTAATCCGTTTATTTGATCAACATAATAATAATATATAAAAATACATAACATCACAAGAGTTATCAATGCAAGTAATTATATCATAAAATATATACATGTATAGAGTAAATAATTTTAGAATATGTTTATTTATTTGAAAAATCAATGATAAAAAAGTATCTAAAACGAAAACCAAACTTTTATATATATATATATATAAATATATATATATATATATATCTATCTATCTGTGTGTGTGTGTGCGCGCGCGCGCCCTCAGGTCACGAGTTCGATCCCCGGTGGCGTTGAGTTTTTGAATATTTAGGCACATGGCGCGGGCTCTCATCATGGGGGGCCTAACGCATGGGAAATTGGTATTTGGATCTCTGCCAAATACCAATTTCCTTTTGAAGAAAAAAGAATGTATATATATATATATATTAATTCAAGTTTATTATTATGGTTTTATTTTTTTTTTCTTTTTTAAGTTTTTGATAATATCATTTACTTGATTGAAAGCAAGTACCTATTTCTCTCAAGTAATAACATAAATAAAATAAATTAAAATAAATTGGCTAAAAGCATTCCAAATTGTACCTTTTTTTTAAAAATGCTTTAAAAGATACAATATGCTTTTGAAGAAAAAAAAAAGTATATATATATATATATATATATTAATAATTGGTATTTGGATCTCTGCCAAATACCAATTTCCTTTTGAAGAAAAAAGAATGTATATATATATATATATTAATTCAAGTTTATTATTATGGTTTTGTTTTTTTTTTCTTTTTTAAGTTTTTGATAATATCATTTGCTTGATTGAAAGCAAGTACCTATTTCTCTCAAGTAATAACATAAATAAAATAAATTAAAATAAATTGACTAAAAGCATTCCAAATTGTACCTTTTTTTAAAAATGCTTTAAAAGATACTCCAATATGAGTTGTGGATATTAAATTAATTATGTAATGACGTTTTATACGAAGCTTGGCAGATTGTTGCCATGAAAAGTTTAAAGATGTGACAGTGCTTGGTAAGGGGTTTCTAAATTTAGCTTCATAAATATTGGATTGGCTGATGATAATTTATTAAGTTTGAGTTCTTGAAACTTATGCTCCACCAGTCCTTTTGCTTTGCTCATGCATACCGTTCCCCACCTTACTGCCCACATTGGTGGTCATTTAAAATGGTTGATTGTGCAGCAAGCATGTGATTAATGTAATTAGGGGTGTAAACGAGCCGAATACGAGAGCTCGTGTTCGGCTCGTTTATATTTCGAGCTCAAAAAGTGTGCTCATGCTCGACTCGTTTGCTTAGCAAGCCGAACAAGAGCAGTTCACGAACAAAGAGTCGTTTGACAACCCTATTCACATAGTCATAAGATATTAAGGATTAGGAAAAGATTTAAACATCATTTTAATCTAATTTAATAATTTTTATTATATTTTCTTCATCAATACTTTTAATTGATTATACATCTTTGTAGCCTTGTAGACAATTAAATTTTTAAAAAATACTACTTATCCAAGATATATATATAATTGATTAGTACTATTTCGAGCCAAAACGAGCTGATCACTAACGAACAAATATTTGTTCGTGTTCGGCTCGTTAACTTAGCGAACAAGCCGAACACGAGCTTCTTAACGAGTTGTTCGCGAACAACGAGCCGTTTTGACAACCCTAAATAATGCATTTTCTATTGGGGCGTTTACATGCATACCACACAATTCTTATGTTTACATATCTAGCATCTAAACATTGGCTTTTTACATTATACTGCCCAAATCACTCATATAACATAAAATTTACCACTGTTTTAACTAAAAAATGTGAAGTACCCCTTTTTATGCTTAGGTAAGGCGGCATATATATATGTAAAAGCTGAATTTTTGTTGTTTGATATGTAAATAAATAAGAATTGAGTGGTAAGTATGTAAATATTTCTTTTTTATCTGTTATTCTTAATGCAATAGAGTCTGCAGACTGATCATTCCTTTCAGTGTGATGCTGATCTGATTCCTTTTGGTCCAAGGTTGTCAAAGTGGCAGACTTTGGTGTTGCTCGTTTTCAAAGCCAAGGTGGAGTCATGACCGCTGAAACAGGAACATACAGATGGATGGCCCCCGAGGTGTGCTCTCTTTGCACCATTTATCAGCTTTTTTTTTTCATTGTTTGTGTTGATAAAAACCATTTTGCAATCTAATAAGTACTTCTGATTCCATCTTGATGGCTAACATTCATGCATCAAACCCTTGGTTTTGTAAAATTTATTGATAATCACACTTATTATGTGATGGTAACAATCTAATTAAGGTACGGGTGCATCTTTGATGACATGATCAATCATTTTTTCGATTTATTTAGTTAGTGTAATAAGAAAATATTTAGTTCTTTTTTTGGATTATCCTTAAATTTTATCTTGATTAAGGCTGTCATTTTAATGATCAGCCGAGGGACTTTTTGTTATGAGTATGGACCTGAAGAATATTAGATGTTTACTCTAACCTTGTGATTAGAATTACATGAAAAATTTTAATTTATTAGAATATTAGAATTAAATGAAAATATGACAATCAATATGCTGCAATGGAGAAAAAGGATTCATGTAGCAGACTCCACTTAGTGGGTTAAAGGCTTGTTGTTGTTTTACTTCTAACCTTATGATTTGTTTTTTTATTGCGACACTAAATGTGGACCACCTCAGCTTACTCTCTCTCTCCCCTCTCCCCTCTCCCCTCTCCCCTCTCCCCTCTCCCCTCTCCCCTCTCCCCTCTCCCCTCTCCCCTCTCCCCTCTCCCCTCTCCTCCCTAGAAACTCTCAGGCTGCAATTCGCTTCTCATGTGCCAGCTCTTTTTGGCCTCTTCCCATTCTATCATTTTCCTTTTTTTTTTCTTTGATTACTCCTAGCATAATCAATCTTTGGTTCTTACTCTGCTTTCTTATCCACTTAATCTATTGTCATTCAAATTCTTTGCAGTAGACCTCACTGGAACCCTCTGAATTATGATTTCAGATTTTTTTTTTAAATCAAACTTCTATTTAACAAAAGTTTCCTTGCATTTATGATCTCTCATACAGCGGCGATTTTGGTATTAGAGGGAGACCATATCTTTCAAAATCAGTTCTTCCCAGTAAACTTTCCTCTTATTTTTGTTGTGATTTCTACATTTTTTTGTGTGCTGCACTTGGTATCTCAGAGTTTAGTGTTATGCATTTCAAAACAGTCCTTAGCCTTCAGAAATGTCATGGCCAACCACTTCAGAGTAACACCCACCACCTTAAGCCCTTTCCAATATTCATATCATCATCCACCTATATTTGGTTGGAAATTTTAGTCTTGATGGTGGCTCCTTGTAATCAACAGTGGCAATCAGCGACATGGGTTTGTTTGGCGTGTTATCAACGCCATTCCAAATGAGGACACTTCCCTATTACATCATCTAGGAGGTCAGAATTCATCGATGGAGAATATGACATAATTAAGAGTTTTAATTGATGCTTAATAATCCTTGTTCTGAAACTCTTGATTGCATTTATATTGGTTGGAAAACCTGTGTCATGCTTAGGAAACTCCATTTGTTTTAGGAAATTTTTGTCATGTCTTGATTAGAAACCATGCTTGGGAAACTCGATATATGTAGTGAGTGTTTGTTGCCCCTTTCCCTGCTTTCGCATGCTTGAGTGAAATCTCTCTTATTGAGAATGATATTTTGTGAGATAAAATCCTATTTATTCAAAATCATATTATTTGAATTAAAATTAATTTAATTTACTAATTTCCTGATACTGATTTTAGTTCGTATCAACAAAATTCTTTTTACTACAAGTATAATAGTGTTTTTATCATTCTATTATAATTTACATCCTGCTAGTTAAATTATTTGCATGTTTTAACTTAATCCATATTGATAGTTTCATCAAATCACCATGACTGTGAGACTGATACAATGCCAGAGTGTTTAGTCCCAAGATTAGAACAATAAATTTGTTAAATAATAAATTACGAATAGATTTGATGAACTTAATAATCAAATTGTTTTTTTTTCTAAGTTCGAACAAATTAAATCTTGCATGAAACTCCTTGGGTTGTTCTTGTTAGTATGCACTGTGTCATTGATATGTTCTGGACCTTTTGAATCTACATAGTTTCTTCAAGATTTTCGATGGCCTCTCAATTAAGCCCAAGGCAATCAACACTAATCTCAATACCTTAGCTAGTTTCTTATCATCCAATTTAGATCATCCCCGTCTATTTATCCATTAGACTTGGATATGATGATCCAAAACTCTTTAGTCTTAAGGGAAAGGGTTCTTCATCCTTAGCCCTCTGCTTAGCCGAAGGACCCAAGTATTTCTTAGATAGGGACATTTTTGTTTAGTATGAATCTCGACTACACTCCACTCTAGCAAATTGTAAATACCACCAAAATGGAAAGTAAATATGGGTTTAAAAAAGCGCTTTATTCTCTAAAAAAGGCAACTGTTGAGCCATCCTTTTATTTGAATGCATGAAATTGAGTGTCAAAGTGTCTTCTGTTGGAAGCACTCTTTAAGACAGGCTCAACTGCTCTTTGGTTGTGTGTGTAGGAAATATGTAATTGATGTGAGTGGCATACCCTAATGACATTTACTAATTTCAAATCATTTCTATCATACAATAATGTGGCATCGTCTGTGGGTGCTTTCTCATTGCTGTCAATTAATTATATTAGGGAGTATGTTAAATGTAGAGAAAATTGTCTTGAACTCATTCAAAGCGTCAAAGAACAACTTGGTATATCAAGTGCTACGAAATTGGGAGTCATCCTCTCCATCTCTTATGCAGTCGAGAAATTTGCTGCAAGAAGACTTCTTGCTCTTTAGAAGATTGAGGCAGGTGAAAATTTGCCTTCTTCAGGAATCCCATGAAACGGGATCACAACATTTCAAATATTTTGGCAGCCATTTTATTCTCAATCAATTGTATTTCGATGTACGTCATCCCAATAAAACCCATATAGCGTGCACCATCAAATAGAGGTTCTATCACCACTACCTTAATCACACGAGAATGTTCTAGTCTACATCATCTGCAATTTGACGTTGCCTCTCTAGTAAGCTTAGTTTGCAATCCTCTTTCACATTGTCTCCCATGAGGCGAGTCATGTTTCTTTGACAATAATTGGTGTGCATTGATTGCTTGTTTTTTCCAGCATTGTATAATATTTATATAATCCTGAGAGGGCTTCTAATAGGTAACATGTAAAATTATAAATTTATAATTATAGAATAAGTACAAAATTTCAAGAATTAGTGAGGTTCCAAAATAATTATGATTAATTGCAATAATTCATAGATTGATGAGATAGCAATAATAGTTTCACAGATTATTGAAGTGGCATTAAGCGACTAAGGTAGGTAGTGGATTGTTGGGCTTAGTAGAACATTGGTTAGGGTAGAATTGATGAAGGCAGATAAGGATTGATTTATTCACTCTTCCTCAAATGAATTAGTGGATGTTGTCCTTTCCAAGTTTGCATATCGATTTTGCTTCATGCCAATATCTCATAATAAATATTTAAAATTTGTTAGCGCTAAGTTGCATCAGTTGTATGAGCATAAATCGAATATCAAACTAGAATTAGATGTCACTTTTAAGAAAGAGTGAATAAATCTCAAACACACACACAAACACACACACACACACAGCGGCAATTTACGTTTGAGTCTCCAAATTACCTATAGGAGAGAAAACCAACCTATAAAAAGATGTACAGAAAAGAAGAAAAGGCTGAAATGCTCTTGCTTCAAGGTAGATGTGCCCTTGATAGTTTCATGATGATGATATAACCTTTATTCAAGAAATAAAACAATATTCTAAATTGTTAACTGCTTCACATTAATGGACATGAGCCCATGCATAAATGTAATCTTATGGAAGAATTAAATTATAGATGTTAAGTGAGGTAGTCTTCGTAATTGCCCTTAAAATTATGTACATTCCATGAAGCACTACAGGAGCCAAGGAGATACTCATGATTAAAAAAAAAAAAAAAAGTTGGCTAACAATGGAGGCTAGCACAATATAGATCTCACTGTTATTAGATGAATAAAGGCACAAATCCATGTAAAAATCTCCGGTATAAATTAGTCCTTATCCATATCGGGAGTGGGAAGAGTTATCTATTTTTGGAAATCTTAGAAGATTTGATCTTTTTCATGTTTCATTCTCGTGTGGGTCGGCCACCAAATCTACAAGGATTTAATTAAGATATCTTAGGAAATTTTGTATTGGTTTATTCTCTTCCTATTTTATGTTTTTCTATTTTTCATTCTGAATTATTTTCTTTCCTAATTTCGGAGAAATATGTTTGATAAGTTTGTAAATAAGGATGGATTGATTTTTCTATATATATGTACCCAATTTGTGAATAATGAATCAAGGAATTATTTCTCCCCAAACCCGTATTCCTACATGAGATTAGAGCCATTTTATCCTAGATCCCTCCAGGTTGTCGGACTTCCTCCTTGCTGTTGGAAACTCGTTTGAACCTCTGACAGAGTCAGAAAATTCTTTCAGTCAGAAGTGGAGCCTCTCCTGCCAGAGCAGGAATCTCCTCTGCCAAGAGTTGGACCTCCTCCCTGCTGGCAGTTGGTATCTTCTCTTCCTCAACCCAAATTTCTCCCTGAAGACCCCTCTTGCCGTCAGAAATCTCTCACTGCAAGTTGCAAGCCACCAGAATTCTCTTCTTTCCTACAACCAGTCCTCTTCTCTGCAGCCAGCACTCTTCCTGCAGGTTGCAGACCCATCTTCAAAATCTCTCCCACCATCCGGACTGTTCAATTTTCTGTTCAATTTTGTTCAGGTTCTGTAGCCGGTATCCGCTTCCCATAGCAGCAATGACAACAAACGTAGCAGCAACAGCCAGAATCTTCATGACAGCCGCCTGAAGTTTTCATGCAGCCACTGTTCTTCTGCAGACCCTTCACCGGAGCTTCTCCATACAGCAGGTCCTCCTCCTGAGCTTCTCCTTGCAGCCATCAGCTCAGGAATTTCCTTGCAGGTTGCAGAGCTCCCTGCGGACCCTCACAGTTTCTCTCCTTCCCCGATGTTTTTTCCTAGCATTGTCATAGTCGTGGATCTTACTG